TACTCTGTATCCACTACACTCACGGGCCCCAAAATTTCTGATGGCAGCCCTGCTTCTACCCACATTATTCCAGTCTGTCTCTTTCTCAATTTCTTTTAGTCTGATGTTTCAAAAAGCTGTCTCTAGCAGATCTCAAATAGAGTGATAAATGACAGCTTTACTTACCATTCTGACAGACCCTGAAATTTTCCACATTCCATTTTTGGTTAATTACTCTGTGACTTTATGTGTACATATTTGTTTCCATGATCCCATTTCAATTCCCTTGTTTTGCCTTGTGTTTTCTTTTGTGATTTCTGAGCAAATCTTTTACATGAGTGGAGTTCCTTGAAGAATGTTAAGAGAAATTACTGTATTACTTATATTTTAGACTGAGCTACTGAACCAGTTTATTATTCCAGTGTGCTTGATGTTGCTCCATTTCAATATCCTTTATCTCTTTAATGTAAGCTTCTATAGTCAGTTGATATATATGCTACAGAATAAACTATTAATGTGTCATGTTGACTAAACTAGGTGATAATATATTTCCATCTAATTGATAAGAATGTGACTGCTTAATTTGCAGGGCTTGCTTATTTACATACTACATTTGCTTATTACACAGGTTTGAAAGCACAACACAAAATCACTACCTAGCTAACAGTTACCACAAAGTGTAGAAATAAAAAGATGTGCTGAATAAACATTGTATACCACTGTGAAATGTTAAAATATTGACACTCTTTCTTGAGGATAATCAGATTTTTGTTATCAACAAAACTCCTGTGACTGAAAATGTATGGATATGTTTTTTAAAGGGAAACTCCAGTGCCAGGAAAACAATCCATTTTTCTGGCACTGCAGGTTCCCTCTCCCTCCCACCCCCCAATCTCCGGTTGCTGAAGGGGTAAAAACCCCTTCAGTAACTTACCTGAGGCAGTGACGATGTCCCTCGTCGCTGATTCTTCCTCCACCCCACTCCTCCTTCAGACTGCGTCGGCCGGTGGGCGAGACTGATCCTGCCCACCGGCCGGGGAGACCTAATGCGCATGCGCGGCAATGCCGCATTAGCGCTCCCCATAGGAAAGCATTGAAAATGCATTTCAAGGCTTTCCTATGGGGAAATGAGCGACGCTGGAGGTCCTCACACAGCGTGAGGAAGTCCAGCGATGCTCTAGCACAGGTTTCCTGCAATAATTACACTTGTAGGGTTAAGAGTAGTGGGAGTTGGCACCCAGACCACTCCAATGGGCAGAAGTGGTCTGGGTGCCTGGAGTGTCCCTTTAAGTAAGGATGATTAAACATACAAATTTTTTTAGTGGTATTATTATTACTGTTGTGCTGCAATATCCTGTAGGTCCCCATTGTGCTGGCAAAACAGCTATGATATGTCAAGGCATGGAATGCACAAGATCACGGAATACGTCCTGTAGTATCGGGTACCATTAGTAGCAGATCTTTTAAGTCCAGCAAGTTGCACAGTGGGGTCTCCATGGATCGATTTTGTTGTTTTAGCACATGCCACAGATGCACAATTAGATTGAGATCTGAAGAATTTGGAGGCCAAAGCAATATTTTGAGCAACACCCATTTCACAGTGGGTTTGAGGCATTGTGACTTGTAGACATTTCAGGTCCATGTCTAACTATCAGATTATCAAGTGTTGGCAAATATGCCTGATTACAATTTAGATGAGGCAACTACAGTCTGTCATCGGTCCTCCACCATATTTCACAGTGGGTGTGAGGCAATATGACTTGTACACATCTCAGGTCGTTGTCTAACCATCAGATTACCAATTGTTTGGCAAAGCTGAAAATTTGACCCATCAGAGAACATGACCTTTCTCCAGTCCCCTATGTTTGTTATGGTAGTTTGCAAACCTCAGCCTTTCATTGCTTCTCTTTGCTAAAGGTTTTTTTCTACCATTGCAAGACTTCAGCAATGTCCTTAGCCCGTTTTGATCCATCCTCACGTTGCACCAGGGGCGTACCTAGAGCATTTGGCACCCGGGGCAGATCCTGTGCTTGGCACCCCCCCCCCCCCCCCCCCCAAAACCAAAAATTTTAAAGGTTCTTTTTTTTTTTTTTTACAATTTGTAAACTTTGCAAAACCGCTGTCAGCCCCTCCTACAAAACCCTTGTCCTGTCCTGCACCTCCTACAAAACCTCTGTCCTGTCCCTTCTACAAATCCTGTACTGCCTCGTCTACAAAACCCCCGCAACCCCCTTCCACAAATCCCCTGCTTATCCCCCCCTATAAAGACTCCTATCCCAATACAAAACCCCCGCCCCCTTCTACAAAATCCCTGCAGCCCCACACACACATTTACAGGCAGACAGTCACACACTCAGTTACAGACAGACAGTCACACACTCAGTTACAGGCAGACAGTCACATACAGTCACAGGCAGACAGTCACATACAGTCACAGGCAGACAGTCACACATACACATTTCCTCCGTGCAGCCAGTTTATCAGCTGTTTGCTTGTGTGAGCTGTACTGGCCGCACGGCACCCTAACTACCATGGGACACTGTGCGTCCACAGCTCACACAGCCCCCTCCAGCCAGGGGAGGTGCAAGGATTTTTGCCGCCCTAGGCAAAAGTAAAGTTTGCCGCCTCTCATGTGACATCACAATGCCCCACCCATATGATTTGCCATGTTAACTAATGCCAGTGCTGCAGTGCCGCCGTGTTTACATTAAAAGGCCTGCAGGGACAGGCTATAGACACCAGAACCACTACATTAAGCTGAAGTGGTTCTGGGGACTATAGTGTTTCTTTAATGTGAGGTAAAATAGAGCTTA